ATGGCAGAGGAGCACCCATGGAACTGGACCAGGCCCTCTGGATAAGTGAGACAGTTGATTAGCTTGAACTGTTTGCAAGGCCCCGAGGCAGTGGAGCCAGGACCTGTCCTTAGTGAATGGGCTGACTTTTTGGAGCCTGGGGCCTATGCTGGGACACTTTGCTCAGCCTTGGTATAGGGAGAAGGGGACTGGGCCAGTCTTGGCTGAGTCTACCAGGTTGGGCTGACTCCCCAGGGGAGACCTTGCCTAGGAGGAGGTAGGAGGGGATGGGGGAGGGCTGGGGGATGGGAGGAGGGAGGACAGGGGAATCCATGGCTAATATGTGAAATTAAGTTATTATTAAATAAAAATACTATAAAATGGAGAAATGTGTTTATTATCAATTTCCTTTACTTTGCCTTCCTTGTGAATAAATACAGTTTGTTTAACTATTCTGGCTTACTAGACAGGTATCCTTTCTCTCCTTAGAGTTCTGATACTTCGTGGTGGTCTACCCAAGTGGATGGCTTCTGCCCAAAAAGAAGATCTTATTTTATCAAAAGGGTTAATATTCATATTCCCATACCAGCTTTTAGTTTAAGAAAATGTGTGTAAATATCTTGTTGCTTATCTTCGTTTTATTCTTTTTTAATTTTATAATTTAATTTAATTTTACATATCAGCCACTGATTCCCTTGTTCTCCCCCCTGCGCCCCCCCTGCCTTCCCCCCAGCCCACCCCCCATTCCCATCTCCTCCATGGCAAAGTCTCCCCTGAGGATTGAGTTCAACTTGGTAGATTCAGTCCAGGCAGGTCCAGTCCCCTCCTCCCAGGCTGAGCCAAGTGTCCCTGTATAAGTCCCAGGTTCCAAACAGCCAGCACATGCACTGAGGACAGGTCCTGGTCCTGCTGCCTGGATGCCTTCCAAACAGATCAAGTTTACAGCCTTCCAATATAAAGACTCTTCGGGGGCTGGAAAGATGGCTCAGATGTTAAGAGCACCGACTGTTCTTCCAGAGGTCCTGAGTTCAATTCCTAGCAACCACATGGTGGCTCACAACCATCTGTAATGAGATCTGGCGCCCTCTTCTGGCCTGCAGGCATACACGCAGACAGAACATTGTATACATAAAAAAACAAAAGTAAAATTAAAAAAAAAAAAAAGACTCTTGGTCTCCAGTTCAGCTAGGCTGTGGATGATAAATAAATAAATAATTTAAAAAACCTGTCATTTTCTATTGCTCCCTGTAATTCTCTAAATTCCAGGAGTAGCCTCAAGCTAACTCCCTACTAGTCAACTATACCACATGTCTCTGAACCCTACTGGTGTCCTTCATGTTGTTTTATCATAAAATTGTTTTCAGGCTTCAGCGTTGATCCATTTTCTCCAGCCTTGTTTAATTTTTCTCTGCTGAAATTAGAATGTGTATATCACTCTCCCAATAAATAGATCATTAATGCTTTTCTCCTAGTCAAAAATTGAGTTTATATATATATTACTGTCTGTTCTCCCTCTTTTTAATGACTGCTTTTCTTACAGGGTGGTTATTTAACTTGGGCTTCATCTATCTGCAAACTGATGTGTCCCCCTATAATATGTGGACATTTGTTTATGGTAGGAAGTTTTTTTGTTTATTTTGTTTTTTTTACTCAACCATATATGTAAGTTAAATTTAAAGACCTGTTCTGTTAATTTCTCTGGGTTTTAGGAAGCTATTATGATGGTGTCATAAAATAGGTTAGCTGATGCTCATGCTGATTGCATCATATATATATATATATATTTTAAAATGCATCATGTACTATAATTAGAATTTGATTCATTAAATATTCTGTTCAAATAAAATGTTGAATGTCTAGCCCTCAGTTTATCAAAGTGATATCCTCACTGACTGAATAGCTGTCTAATACGTGAGATTCATTATCTTTATATTAACTGGTGAAAGAAATCTCAAGGATCTTTGCTATGACTTATGTCATTCTTTCCATATATATCAATAGTTTACTTGTCTTTAGATAATTCTTCTGTTACCTGACATTTCTATAAGTCTTTCCTGAAGGTACCATTATAAGAATACCTTTTAATAAATGTTTAAATTTATGTTTATATATCACTGTATTGGAGTACCCAAAAAGCAAATAGTCTATCATTTATAGAGTACAGGATTCTTAAGAACTTAGGAGACATTGGCTTTGACCTGTTGATCTCCATCTGGATGAGAAATAGACGATGCCAACACCATCTGACTCTCTATTTGCCTGGATCTCACTAGTTGGCTGTCATTACCTACACCATCTCCCTAGGGACTTCACAGAAGTATTTGAATTGCTAATGACAGAAAAGATTATCAAAGCAACTGAAACCCAGATGGTGGTCAAGTGTATATTGAGATGGACCAAAAATCAAACTGAACTTGCTATTCATGGAAAAATAATGCAAGAGATGTCAGCCATGGAGGACATTGAAATAAGTCACCTTTTGAATCCTTTAACATTGTGCTAAGCACAGGCTAATTCTTCCCAGAAAGTATCTCCTCACTGTGTGTCAGAAAATTCAATATTATTCACCAGCAAGGAATGTACTAAATGCAGAAACCACGAGGAAACAATTTAAAGACTGACATACTCATTGCATGTGTATTTTTTTATTCTATGACAATATATTTAAGGTCTATCATAAAACAGCCTGAAGCTTGGCTGTACATCATGATGAAACACAACCTCTACAAAACCACAGAAGGACTGGAGAGAAGACTCAGTAGGTAACGTATTTGCTGCCCAAATGTGACACTAGTTCAGATTCCCAGAATCCAGGTATAGGTGGTCACAGTAGTACATGTCTGTTATTTCAGCACTGGGGGAAAGAAACAGGAGAATCAAAGAAGCTTGTTGGCCAACTGATCTAGACAAAACTGCAAGTTTCAAATTCAGTGAGATACCCTGTCTCAAAAAAGGAATATAGAGGAACTATTGAGAAATATATCCTGACATCAACTCAAGACTCCAAAGGCAAGCCACATGATTGAGCTCATCCCCCCCCCCCCAACCGAACCCCTGTATAGGTGCATATAGCATATACGTACACAAAGTATGTAGTAGAGATAGCTCATTTGATGAGTAGTGTGAAAGTAGTTTCTTTAGTAAACATACATACTTTAAGACTTATATAATACTTAAATTCCTAGAGAAATGGGTTATCTGAATCTCTCTAAATCTCATGCTTATTTCAGAAAGCAGCTATAATCCATCATTTCATGAGGATTTACAGAGAACACAACAGAAGTTCTACATGCTGATTGAATATTAGATGACATATGGCTTTCCCAAGCTCCCTCTTAATAGATAACCACAAATCAATAAAACGTGTGGTTTACATCCACACATTAGATGCTGCTGATGTTTTTATTGCTTCAAATTCTTTAGAGACTTTAATGTGTTAGAAACTGCACTATCTTTTAGTTATTTTCTATGTTTGTCAAAATGTATTTGACAGATGTAATGGCAGGCACTTCCAGCCAACAACATATAATAGAAATAAACGAAGTATTCTTAACTAGCAAGAACTTCAAAAGTGAGTAGATGAGGACCAACTAAGCAACTGTACAAATTAAGCATTGCTATCCTGCCCCCCAACTTTCTCAAACAACAGAGCAGGCTTTCTCTCTAGGCAGGAGAGATTGCATCATCCATGAGCATTTTCTCCATAAACTCCCAAACTAACTGACCAATATCCAGACATTTATTCACAGAAGGTAACAATCTTCTCAAAGTATATCTTATTGATTTTGTATTTTTATTAACACCAACACCAACCTTTTTTTGAGGGCAGGGTTGAGACAGGTTTTCTCTGTGTAGTCCTGTCTCTCCTGGAACTGGCTCTGTAGATCAGGCTGGCCTTGAACTCAGAGATCCACCTGCCTCTGCCTCCCAAATGCTGAGATTAAAGGCACATACCACCACTACCCAGTTATCATATCAATGTTAACTTGAATCCCAGTACTTGGAACATCATTTTGATTTGTTTGGTGAACATAGGTGATAATTAGTTTTAATCATCAATTTGACAACATCTAGAAAATCTGGGAGGAGAGTTTTGGTGAAGGGCTATCTAGATAATGTTGGCTATTAGGCAAATAGGGAATTGCCTTGATTATGTCAACCAATGTGAGGAGACCCAAACCACTATGCACAGAATCATTTCCTGGGATGGGGTTCTGGACTTTGTAAATGTGGAGATGAGTTGAGTGATAAGCATGTATGTGTTCATTTCCCTGTACTCCTGACTGAGGATGTGATATGAGCAGATGTTTTAAACTCCTGCTGCCTAGACTAGCACACAATGAAGGACTGTAATGAGTATTGTAAGCTAAAAGAAAAAATTCTCCCCTAACTTTCCTTTTGTCGGATATTTTATAACATCAGCAAAAATTAAACTAAAATATCACCTAATGATCTTTTTCTATATACCAAGCTTTGAAATATTTCTGCTGTAGAAACATTCATTTCATGGCTGAAGAGATATCTCAGTGGGTAAGAAAATTCCCAACACTCAAATAAAAAGCCAGGCTTCTTCCAGGGGTCTTATGGCCACCAGCCTAGATCCAGGGTAAGGGAGAGTCCTGTTCTCAAGGGAATAACAAAGAAAATGATAGAGCCAGTCACATGACACTCTATTCTAGCCTCAGCATGCAAATATGACTTACACACTTGCACACACATGTACAACTATAACACAAATTAGTACACAGAAATAAAATAAAATCCTAAATAAAAGGTATATCAGAAGTTATAAGACAGCCATATATAAAATATTTGTGAAAACAAATCTTGATAATGATAATCATTTCTCTATTAGGCAGTTATGACTCTGTTCCCACTCACTCATGTTCACAAGATGTTATATTTTCTCTAAGCTGAAAAATCACTACTCTCATACATGGCTGTTTTAAAATTCAGATAGTATACTCTTAGTGTCATCGTTGGAAGAAAAAGAGTTCTATTTTTATCCTCTGTCAGTTCAATTATGAATCTAAGTGCTCTGGCCATAACTATATAATTACAGATTTGACATTTGTCTTTTATTGCTTGATGAATGAATCTTTTTGACACAAGATTTCAAAGGAAGAATAGACAAATATCCCAGGGTGATATGATCAATCTACAAAAGTTTATTCTGTTTAATAATACAGAGAACTTGGAAAATCTTTCTTTAATTACTCACCCTATGACTAGTTTGATCCAATCAGAAGACAGAATTTGTACAGTAAAATAACAAAATGAAGATAAAATTTTTAATTAATATAAGATCTTATCTACAATTATGTCTTACTATAAAGGAACATGGAAATACACACATATAGACAGATGGACACACACACACACACACACACACACACACACACATACATACACACTCACAGCTTCAGACCTCCTGGGAGAAACTGTAATTGTGATTGCTCCATAAATCTGTGTCTAGATAACCCATACTGGTACACAATAAATACTCCTTAGTATCAACAGAAAATTGAGGTTGGTACCTGTAACAAGAGTCTTAAAAGGTCTTATTAAATAAAAAGCACAAATCCAAATATAGGGGTGAAAGCCTTAGATCAGGGAAATAGGGAAAGCCATCAGCTAACCTTACCTCACCAACTCTGCAGCTTCCAAATGCAAGTTGCTTCCTATCTACTCACGCCTTTATTGCCTTGCTGTTCTGCCCTCTCATTGGCTCTCTTAGTCCAGTTACCTTACTTCCTCTTCCTACACAGCTCTGTCACTTTCTGTCTGTCTGTACAGACCTCCAGGTCTCTGTGGTTGGTACTGGGATTAAAGGCTCGTGTCACCACGCTTGGCTCTGTTCCCTAGTGTGGCCTTGAACACACAGAGACCCCTGCCTGCTAAGTGATAGGATTAAGGGTGTGTGCTATCACTGCCTGACTTCTTTGTTTACTTAAAATGGCTTGCTATTTCCTCTGATCTCCAGGCAAACTTTATTAAATCACAAATAAATATCACCACATTTCAGCACAAATAAAATATCACTACAGGTACCCAATCACTGCACATATGCAAGCCTCACTGATAAGTCAGGTATGACACCTTCTGAGTGTCAATGAGAAACATTTCACAGACTGCTGCCCAGGTTTAGTGAGAGTCTCAGGAATGTCCTGAACCACACATATGCAGAATATAAACAGTAACTAGAACAGAAAGAGGAACCATTTCTCTCTTATTGTCTGAAGAGTTACTAATAGCAAGCTCAAAGTCATGTCAGCTTCAAGAACAGATGTATTTTAGAAGAGTTTTGAAGATAACATAAAGACAGATCAATTTTTCAATTCACTGATAACCAACACAGCTTCCATCACTAATCAATTTGTTCCCTAAATAGAAAATGCTCTTAAAAAAGAGGTGAAAAGGTATGAAGAAATGCATGCAACTTAAAATTATAGGTAAAGCTGAAAATTACTTGTCTTTAATTAAATATAACATCCAAGTTAAAAGAAGGATTCTCAAAGTGGAGAAACTTAATCTAAACATGATTACTTGACATTTTAGGGATTTTTGTTTGTTTACTTGTTCATAGAAAATAAAAGTCTTTTCTTCCTCACTGAATTTCTCTGAATTTGTCTAACTAAGTCTGTTTGGAATTCAAATTCAGAGAAATTCAGTAACATAGGAGAAAACAATGCACATTATGAAGGCAGAAGGAATAGACTTGTTCCCAGTGAGTCTCGAGTAAACCCCCTCACAGAGTCATTAATTTGTTTACATTTAAAAATCAGCATAAATTAATACAGCTGTTTTCCCTCTAGACATTTATTGATAATTAATAGCAACTCAAGACAATTTTTAGTAGCATCTATATTATATATTATACTGAAGAGGGAGCTGGATATTTACTGAATACATCTTGACTCCACAGATCTTTGTTAAATATAAATTTATAAATATAAATACAGGGATAATTTATAAAATGATCCAGAGTATGTTTTTCTCTATATTTATTTTCTGTTTGTTTCTTTTAACCACAATATCTATTTAAATGAAAAGGATTAAAGTAGTTTGCTATGAGTAAGAAATGAAATTTAAATAATATTCATTCAAAGTCTCCCCTCCCTTACTCCCTGCAACACCCCCCTCCACCATGTGCACACACAAATTAAACCTCAGATTTTTAAATAGATGAGTTCAGTAAACTAACTGAATACTTCATACCTCAAAGGTGATGTCCTAGGTCTTTTGACTCAGACTTTGAGATGTGAGAACTTGTGCCCCTGATGCTACCTTTGAGAGAGTCAAGAAAAAAAATCCTTTTCTGAAAAATTGAAAGACTACAAAATAAACTTTACAATAGTATTGCCACTGTCAAGAATGTGTTTCTTCTGCTGCAGTATCCAGCGAGGGCCAGGCCATCTATACCAGGGTCAGTGAATGGCCGGGCTGGCTTAGCAGAGCCCTGGGATTTCCACACATGTGCTTCATAGGACCTCCTGTGCTGACAGCAGCCATGGATAGCATCACAGATGCCAGATGCAGCAGAACCATGGACTTAGACATGGCTCTTGGCAGCAGCTCCGTCTCAGATATCACCATGGCACCGGTAGCGGCAACACAGGCCACCCAGATAAGTATGGCCCTGGTGGCAGCATGGCCCTTTGGTGCCAACATGGTCACAGGAAGCTGAACAGACCCTGGGCATCCACAGAGCCCTCGGTAGAAACAGGAGCCATGGACATCACCCCACACTGCCTTATGCGGGGCCATGGACCAAGACATGGCCCTTGAAAGCAGCCCTGGTCTAGATGACACATGGACCCTGGATGAGAGCAGAGCCCACTCTGATCAGAATAGCCCTGGCAGTGGCAATGTCCTGGGACACCCACATGGCTCCTGCACTCAGGAAAAAATAGCCTCAACCCTCATCACAGGCATGCAACTCACCTGGACACCAAACTAGAGATGACCTCATTATCAGGGAGTCTGAGGGTGTGAGAGCCGGA